GATTAATTTATTATTATAATTATTGTTTTTTGGTCAAATAAATCTCTGTGGAAAAACTCTACGAACTTATGTTACAACCCAATATATGTGCTGAAGTGGTAAGAAAATATTCTTAATTGAAAGACTTTTTTGATTGTTCTGACCGAGTGGGTAATGAAGACGCGGCAGTTTTCAGAAATTATGGATCCCGTTCTGTGAAGGACACGCTCACATTTGACTTCCATTTAGAATCGCAGTAGCGTTTTGAGTTCACACCCAAATATTTGGACCAAGCAGTGATTTGTGGGTCCAAAACAATCAAGAACTGAGTACTCTCATGCTCCCATACAGGTCTGGTTCCCATTAAACTGAACCCTAAAGTTGAGTTGATCTGGAAGGCTCATCGATTCGGCACATGACCACTAGACCGCCCGTGCGGTAGAGGCCCCAATCGACACCAATCCACCCCGGCGACATGTTGATTATTGAATTTTCATTTTCTCATTTTATTTCATTTCTCCTCAAATCTAATCCTTTGTTGATATGTTTTCACGTCTTGGAGTGCACGAATACATAGGTAATCAAGCAAACAAGTAGTATTTTCATTTTACTTCGGTGCTGTACTGTTCGGTGACTTAAATGTAATCCTCGTCTTTACCTTCTCGAATGCAATCTCCGTATGGGGTTGGTAGACGTGTCATTGCCTTCTAAAATGTCATCTTTCACCAATCCGTAGGCTTTCTCACAATCTGATTTCTTCCTTTCTCTCCCATACTCTTCAATAATGGCGACATTGTAGTTGAAGGCGCAATATCCCATCAGGTGGCGATTCGATCGGCTAATTTACTTCATTAATGAACTGAAGAAATAGAGCCTAGGAAATGAAATCGGAATAATCTATCAACTTAGTTCTGTCATGTTCCCTTCAGATGGATCGATTTGAACGCACATACGAATTGGCAGTTTCGAATCGAATCTCGACACCGACGATTTTTTCAATTTTGGATCTCAGTATGGATAGCCAGAGTGATCGCAACGCGACGGCCATAGTTTTTTTCTTCATGGAATGGATAGATAAAACTTGAGCGAGACGTGAATTTTTTTCAGTGGCATGCACCAGCTCAGGCGACCCGCCTCGCGACCGCACGCAGTAGCGGCATGTAAAATGAACAGGAAAACCAAGTTCAAGAATGACCAGGTATGCTCATAGTCCCTCTGATACATATGTTCGTGGAATACCATGAGCACTAAAAGCATGAATAATGACGAATCTCTTGAATATCCCAATAAATATCGATCGCTCTTTTCTTGTTCCAGTTGATCACATTAGCCCATCAAGAGGGCTCTTGAGGAATCGCAACATTCGAATACAAGTTTCCATGCGATCGGAATCTAAAAATGCGGCCACTGCATACGTAAGTGTAGCAACACCTTATTTTGTGAAGGCTACCTTTCTGCCGCACTGTAATCGCAAACGTTATTTCAAGTCAGAAGGCTAGTGGTACAGTAGCATGCCATCTTCGTCTCCATCTTCTTAGCCGAAGTGATCGGCCATCTGGAATAGTGTCAATTGGGGGGCCACTACCCCATTTGTGGTTCATGTGGCAGATCCCGTCTCATAAGTACCCACATCAACCGTGGTTGCTGGATTGCAACCATACTTGTCTAGGAGAATAAAGACACTGATTTGTACATACATCAGTTGCCCCAAGTGTTGTGAACAATTTTGATGTAGAAGAAACCAATGATACAAATCCGCGTCGCAGTTTGTTTCACGAATTTCGGACTGACTTGAGTTGGTTGCGGACAAAGTTTGACTTTGACGCCACTTATCGAGTCTTTCCTCAACGGCTTGGACTATCAGACCGATGGAGGTAGACCGTGAAATTAGCTGTTTGCTGCCCATATTTGAAAATTCAGTCAATTGAATTTGAGTTCAGTGGGACTCTCAGCCACGATAATTTCGATGAGAATTGAGTGGAAGTATATAAAAAAAATTGTAAAAACATAACGGACCCATAAGATTTTGCAGTAATGAGAGCAGCGTATGCCCTTGAAAATGTTCTTGGT